CTACGTGAAAAAACTTATACCACTGTGTACTTTCCTTAAATTTCACACTCATCTGAAAGGAAATTCGGCAAGATCGTTTCAAAATGTTTTTGACAAGTCAAGTTTTTCATGAACATCGCCATATTTTAGGGTACCATACCCCCTTAACATTGTCACGTCATCGGTTGAAAGTGAAAACTTTGGAATTCTTATGGTGGAGATGTGAGTTACTGAGATGCAGTATTGCCTTGAACAATACTACTTTTACATTGAAGAAAACCTAAAAATCATACAAGTTTACTAAGATAGAGAAACACCAAAGAAATCATAGTAAACCATAAAGAAACAAGGATGGGTAAGGATGGAGAAGATTGACAGGGATTGCAAACGACGAACTTGAAACATTTAGGCTAAACTTTTCAAGATGCGGAATCCGTTCGTAATGAAAGATATAAACTATTCAATCTAAAGTTTTCGCCGTGATTAGTTAATAATTTCATCTTGACATTCCTATAAAACCAATTTTGATAGGAGAATGAAAAGTTTTTACATTTCATGGCGGTTCTATAAATTAAGTCATATTATACTACGGCATTGCGTCACGGAGGTAATTCTGATATAAAAATGGCGAGCATAAGAGGGTTACTCTGATACAATAATTATAATACCTGACCAGGCAAAATCCCAGGAGTAAATAATATAAAATGGTGGAAACGTAACGGCGAAGAAAATAAGTCCCCAGGGATGTCTTTATGATGGGAAAATAATAGGAAAACCCCAGGGATTTTATTGGTTTTCTTATCCCAGGGTTTTTATTGGTTTTCTTATCCCAGGATTTCTATTGGTTTTCTTCTTGAAATATTGTAGAAAAAAAAGAGGAAAAAGAAAAAAAGAAACGCCGCCGTTTAAATCCATCTGAGAGATGCAACTTAAATTAGGTAATTTTGTGGCATTCTAATGACGTGCATTGACGCTCTTTACACAACGACGTAGTTTGCCGAGGAAATATTATGCGCGTATTGTTTATTATGTAATTAAGCACTTTCCGCGTTTTGTTGTTGTTTTGTTGTAGTATCAGACATCAACAAACCGTTGAGAAGATAAAACGAGGGTTAAAATTTTAAAATAATAAAGCTTATATAGGGTGATGATTCTGATCTGTGCTAAGCGCTTTACGAAACTGAAATAATAATTTCAAAAGAAAAAAAAAAAAAAAAAAAACACTGAATGCCAGAATATTCAAGGTCTTAACACCTTGTTATGAGTGGTATCTAGATTTGTAGTAATTGGTTATGCTTCCTCGTTTAATANAAAAAAAAAAAAAAAAAAAAAAAAAAAAACAGGTGTTAGTTTTGACACAAGGGGGAAACATTTCTGAAATTTGCTAAGTTGCACTTGGTTCCCAAAATTGAATTGAACTCTGATTTACGTTCGAAAACAACGCGTAATAATGGAACGAATAAACACAGCAGACTGGAAATGATTTTGATCTAAGGTTAGCGACAGGAAAAACCCTGAGACATGAACACAGCGGGTTCTAAGAGATTGCAATTGATTTTTAAATTAAAGCTCTCCAAAAATGTCCCTCTTTCAGTTTGCCTCGTGGCTGAAGTCAGTGAAACACGCGACAAAGTCTAAATTTTAAGCCGTTTTGTCCATTCGTCGGTTTGTACTTCAAAATCAACAAATCGAGATATTTTTGGCTTTCGATAATCTTTTTGATAAGCTTGCACTTAATAAAACAGACAAAAGAAAAGATAGGTCCAGGATAGATCACTTTACTGGGCTAGTTTACTGTCTCAGTTTTTCACCTTGGAAATTTCAAGAGACCACTGAGACACGATTTAATTATATAACTAAATCAAGAGGTCAATGCGAAAGAAGACACTGAAATTTCAAAAGCTGTAATTTTCTGTCATCATATGGGATCATCTGATGTCTTGAATTAACTGAGAGCTGAGACCGGTGATCAATTCATAAAAAGCACAAGAAAGAAATTATACTAAATTACAACACAAATCTCGGATCAGTTTTTGAAGATAACTTCAGGATATTTCATTCAAGACCGGTAATTGTATATTGACATGGGTATGATTCACTTTCATGGGTATTTTTGCTTGCTCTCAAGTCTCCCTGAATTGAACTTGAAAATATTTCCGACAAATTCGACCAGTGCCGTTTTTAAGCTTGCCCGCGATTTGAGAAAAATCTGCCTAATCGCATTGGACTTCGATATGTCTGTTTACATAGACAGCAACGCTTAAAAAGTTTGATGAGTTTATTGAATTCTTTTAGCGCTTTTGTCAATAAGCTGGTAGCACCTTTTTCATCTGGCTCGTCCAAAATGTAAGGCCACCATAGAAAAAACAACCCCGTACCGGATGAATTATAAATAGGATTTGCCTCTACTACAGATTCCACAAAACTATTTTGGAAAGGAGTGTTGAGGGTAATTTTACAAGGCCGTATGAATGGGATTTGATGCAAACATTCTCAAAGCTGAAGCGGGCTAGGTTTGTGGCGAGCGCGTGGTTTCAAGTAGCGGTCACGTAAGCGAGGAAAAGGTTGCGTGTTTTACATCGTAGAAAGCAAATCCGTTAATAAGAAATCCTGGAATGAAGCAATGGAGACTATTATGAGAGTGTGCTTCCTGTTCATTGTTGTATTCCTTTAAAATTAATGAGATGTCTTGAATAAAACTGAACAATCTCGAGGATTGACAATGTTTACGTTACTAAAGTGATATCTGACATTCTGAGGCTGTTTTTGAAAGCCACTCAAAACCCAGGAAGCGTTAAATGACAAGTATTTTAGACGCGATAAAAATACAACATATAAATAGTCTTGGTATGTCTTTACCAACTTTAAACTAAAACAAGCTTCAAAACAAAGCAACAAAGTCAATACTAAGCGATTTCTACCGGTGATCAACACCCTTGTACAATGCATGTTTGGTCTATACGAGGTGTTATTGCATGGCTCCATCACTGAGCAAGGCAAGGATGTTATCTATCCATTAAGTTAGATACCTCGGTCGATAATTTTTGAGTTGCGTGTTTAAAAAGCCTCTTGTTGTATTCACCTCAAAATCAACAAAGTCGCGCCAAGCGCTGAATTCAGCCCACCTCTGAAATCTGATTCCTCACCCATCCGGCATTTTCTGCTAGTTCTTGTTTTGTTTTTCTTTTTATCGTTTTAAGAAGTCTGCGATACGAATTGTTTATCGAACAACGTCGTTTTTGTTCACTAGACCTTTAATTTTCTTTTTCTTAGCTGTTATATGCGTTGACAAACCTCGTTTCCCCATTAATTTGCGAAGTCTTTTCCTATTGCGAAGATTCATGAACAAACTTCCTCTTCATTGCTGACAGTAACAAGCGAAGACCTACATTATCATACGTTACTTAAAGAGTATTGATTTCATCGTAATGAACGAATTATTTCCAGTCAAAAGATTTCGCTGGTTGCCATCCCAATCATCTTCAATCTAAAGAGGAACTGAATTGTCTTTTGCTTTTTGTTGTCGTGTTTCCCAAAGTGACTTTTCTGAAGCACCAATTCAGGATATCACTTACATCACAAAATTAAATGTGTTTCCGAGACTAATTGCATGTGCTTCAAATCTGTGGTCACAATTACAAGCTTTTAACTTGGCCATGTGCTGGCTTAAGGAGTCTTTAATTGCACGTTTTAACAAACAACAACCTTCATCCAATAAAACACTGAGATCTGTTTGTACATTGTTTGGCGTCTTAAGGCTTCACATTTCGTGAAAGAAGCCACTTAAGTCCTTTTCCGAGGCCATTCTTCGCATGCAACGTCGATATCCTAGTTAGCCACAGACGTAAAAACGCTTCATAATCGCACGAAAGCTAAGGAAGAATCGAACAAACCTTTTCGCTTATTGTGTAAACACACGCGCGCCAGGGTAAAATACAAAATGCGTTTTATTGCTATAATTGGTTTGGCTTAAGCGATTTTTCACTGCTAAAATGCTTGATTTTTGTCTTATAAGCCATGTTTGACTTCGTACTTATGTGCGGCGTTAATCTTCCTGATAAGTGAATCTAAAGTACGTGTTCGATAATTATGGAGTAACGAAGGGGCGGGCAGCCAACACTGAATTGAAATAGCAGCCTTAAAGACCTTGCGTTTTATGTACTCAATGGGTTTGTAACTGTTGAATGTAATGACAGCCTCAACAATAGCAAAGTTAACGAAAAATTGCTCTGGAATCAAAGACATTAAGAGCTGCCACGGAAGCACTAAATTTTCAAATTTTCAATTACCTCGATTCGTCTGACACCGGAAAAAGCCAAAGATCTAAATCAAGTACAAAGATATTGGCGAACACTGGCTTGCGATACTCCCAGCTGCGATCTAATTAGTGTTTTCTTCGCTTCTAATCGCGTGTTGACAAGCGACAGTGTCAAGTCGTTGATAAAGCTGGATCATTTGATCGTGCATGACATATGCTTGACTGCCAGACTCTTAGCACTGAAGAACGTACGGCCACGCCTTCTGAAATTGACACATGTCTCGTCCATTTCGAACCCTACGCATATTTTACCGCGCGAGTTACAATACTCTTCTCAATGAAGCTCTAAGCTCCGTCGCTGTCTCAATGGCTGGATGCCCTTCCAAAATGAGTTCGTTTTCGATAGACAGTATACTTGCTCTTCAAGAGACCAAGTGCGGCACTGCACAAGACAATGATATCCATAAAAATATAAATGCGTTGAGCGTCGAAGAGCTTCGAGATGAGGATGTCACTACTTCTAAATGTGGAGAGCGCAGAAGTTCTCCAAGTTCGAGTCTAACAGTAGGAATAGAGGAGTCCTCTTACGAAGGTAAAGTCTTGGTAATTTTCTATTCCGCGTTTCATGTGTTTACCGAGTTTGTCACCTATTTGCAAAGATATTGCATTATTACCGTCGCTGAGTTCGTACGTCTCGAAGACCAAGATCATTCGACCCTATGGGTTTCAGTTTAAATGGCAAGTTTGCTTCAGAGAGTTTAGTTTGCGAGAGAAACCTAATTTTCGAGATTTTACACAGACGTGATATAATCACACCAAGTATGTTGTACCGTAATAGCATAGCGTGGAATAATTCGCAATAGTATGTTACTAAGCTCATGAAAAATGTCGCTGCAACATTTCTGGTTCAGTGCTTCTAGCTTTCCGCGTTCTCGGAGCTAAAGTCTTACTTCACATCATACTCAATTTTAACATTTTCTCTTTGTTTTTCCTAGCTGATTCTACAGAAAGACTTGATGCCGAGGATTTTAGCAACGAGACCGATCAAGACCAAGAAACGGAAATTCCAAACACCAAAAAGCGAAAGCGGAGAGTATTATTTTCCAAGGCGCAAATCTTTGAGCTGGAGAGGCGATTTCGGCAGCAGAGATATCTCTCCGCCCCAGAAAGGGAACAGCTTGCAAGACTCATAAACCTGTCGCCGACTCAGGTCAAAATATGGTTTCAAAATCACCGGTACAAATTCAAGAAACAAGTTGGTGATAAGGGACACATCCTAGGAGAAACCATGTCGTTTATGAGCCCCAGAATTGTTCCCGTGCCGGTATTAGTGCACGAAGGACAGCCTTGTTACCGACCTAGAGGCGCAGTGACTTCTCGGCAGGAATTCAGTAATGGCTTCTCATATCCTCCGGTGCCGTTATTGTACTCTAGTCCTGCCGTGTATAATACCCGTTACTGGGGCTTCTCTTAGAGTATAGTAATACGTTAGTAAATAGCGGTTGAAGGTAGTTATTTTGTTCATAGAAACCCAATCGAAAACGTAATCCTATTCGCGTCTGCACTCTCAGGGGTATAATTTCGTGTTTCATCATTCAAAATCGCTCAACACGTTTTATGTAATTCCTGCAAGATTATAAGCCTTTTAAACTTGCGCAAACTAGTCAGTTATAAAATAGAACCTTGTGTTCGTAAACTGGTGGATTCGTTTACTTTACTAAGCTTTAGGATTTAAGCTTCGTTTGAAAAGATCTTCAGTTAACGCCATGTGCAACATTAGTTTATGTACAAAAGATTATGTTCGTACCTGTTTTGTATTTCACGAATAGCGAATTGTTCTCCACTGTGATTTAGCAAACGGAGGTGATAAAATTTCCACCAAAGGCGTGAATAAACTTAAGCATTCGATAGTTCTCCACTGGTGGTTTTTTTTTTTATTGTTAAGAGTTCATTGTCTGTCATTGAAAGCTTTGCCAAGGCCGCTTAGGTTATCATAGAGTTGCAATATTTGCCAAGAACTTGGCAAACAAGTTGTACATGATTATGAGATTTTGTAATCTACAAATAGTTTAGAGTCATACGTACTCAGGGATTAAGAAATCCTTTTTTTAGCCATTAAAGAACAATAAATGTTCCTAGTACGGAAAAAAAGTCAAACCGGACATATTCTATGCCAACAAAGCACCGCTTTCGTATTGTGTTCATCCGTCATATCATTGCGTGGGCTTGTTTGGGACATGATCCTTTTTGTTTATAGCATCTCAGAATTTTGCTAGAGTTCACGGATTTAAAATTGTTAGAAACGTGATGTTATCTTTAGAGGTGGAATGAGAGCAGAGGACTTTAAGTCTTTGTGGGAGTCACGGCCGCGGAGAGCGGATATATAGGTTGCGAGATAAGAGCGCTAGCTCACAAAAATTGGCGCGGAAATCTCTATCTGTGTGCATCAACCACAGCTTTCACTCTTGACGCACGCTTTGAACTGAACAAGTATTTTCTAAAAGGCGTAACTGCCTTTTGTCAGTGCTTTTGAACTCTGCAGAAGGTTACGATGTTGGCCAAATGCGGGCAAACAAGAATGCACAAAGAATATATTTTTCAAAGCTTGCGCGCGATTCGGATCGGTCAACAATGCCCGTTGACATCCGACTGGAGAACATTTCCAAATTCACAACGTAGCACTCTTGTTTACAAAGCTCTGGCTTGTGTTAAAAAATTGATTAACAAGCAGTTAATCTTCAAAATTGAGACTTCAAAGCCAACTTTAGGCGATTACGTTTTCAAAATTAAAGACGTTTTAGAATTCCAGTGTCGCTAAGTATTTTCAACCGGTGACTACTTACTGTATTGACAAGAATTTAGCAAATAAAGGTATACAGTAAAAAGTACTAAACGGCTTTTGTAACTCCCCTTAATAGAATATATAGCAATAGTCATTAATTCAAGATTGGCATGATAATTTTGGCTAGAAATAAATCGAAAATCCTTTACGAAAACTCGACAGCTATGTTAAAATTCGCCTCGATTGTACACACAGCTTGGGTTGGTTTAGAATAACAAAGAGAGTTTGCTAAGTCAAGGCGCTACAGCTGTCTAAGTTTGTCTGTGTCTCGGGTGTTGAGATCTTTAGAAGGGAAAACAAGATGACAGGTTTAAAAATATAGAAGATCATCCACTTCTGAACAAATTCTTCCATAACGCGACCTTCTTGCTTAATCTCCATGATTTGATCTGGGAAAAGTGAGTCAAATCTCTCCGCGAAATGTAATTCATCCGCGACGTTCTCTCATTAGCTGTTACTTCAACATGACAGACACATTTAAAGAGGAGGCTTTTTGTTCGAAAACTAGAAAACAGGTACTACCTCACTCAAGTTATTACAGCAAAAGATCAATTTGTAGCCGTGACATTATCATATAAATACACGCAATAAACATAATTTTCGTGCTGATCGACTTAATCTCTCCGTTATATAATAAACCTTGTTCTGTTCCAAAAGGCTTCATTTCTAAAAAGACTCCTTTGCTTAGTAACGCAAAAACGTGGTTATGGAAGGACAGCACATTTAGGTCTTATAAATTCATTTCGCGATAAAGAACGTAAGGTTTCAGAAGTTTCTTCCTTTCATCTAAATCGTGTTCAGCTGCCATTGTAGCGCGATTACTCATTTTCAATCCAAACATTTTGCTTCGAACGATAAAGAAAAATTCGACACCTAACACATGATATTTACCATGACAATTTGTAGTTTTTTTTTTTTTTTTTTTATAAAAAAGAGAAAAACCTGAATAGAGAGAACCGTCCTAAGGTTCGACAAAATGACCGACATGTTTACATTGTGTGTCATTGTGATCGGAGCTCTGAGCTCAGGTGCAACGATTCACATTTCACTGTTGTTTGTCAGGTTTTGTCCATACTCGGAATTAACTGACAATGTCTTGTAACTGTGTTTGGAAACAAAAAAATTAATTTTCCGAAGCTTAACGAGCTTGCTCGGCGCAAAGTCAAGTTATGGCCGAAGAAGGAGCGCTGTTGCACATGTTTTGCACGAGTAGGTCCTCAAGTGGGTCACTGTCGATAGGTCAGATATCATGCGATTTTAGGACACGGAGAGGCAAAGATCCGAGTTAAGATATAAAACAGAACGAGTCAATAGAAGAATGGAAGTTATGAAGTCACGAATCAGTGAAAAGTTTAATAAAAACTAAAGAAGAAAAAGTAATAAAGATAGAGCAAATGCCGGTAAGGTTATGAATCTGTTCATAACACAGGGCTTAATGTGGTACCCTGGACAACGTATCATACAGGCTATTGGCAGTGTTACACGCTTTGTTGCAGATCAACTGTGTTTGTGCAGATAACGTAGAGGCTATCACTGGTTACCCAGGTTACTTACTGCATCCTACAGTAAATACCTTCCTACACAGTGCAGGTAAATCTTCGGAGGTCACGTAGTTTTGGTCTGTACTATATAACACTTAACTTTCGATTGCTTCTGATATATCGGCCTCTTTTAATTTCTTTTATCTAAATATTACCTTTTAACTCTGTTTTGAAATCTCCTTTCAACAAACAGTAAGAAACTTTCCCTAGAGAACTGTATGCTTCTCGCTTTAGATTAATTAAAATGACATTTGCGGTCTTCTAAGTTATAAAAAAGTGCCTGCATGCTCGAAGTAGTGTGAATTTATAGTTAGCCCGTTTCTGGCGAAGCTGTGTACGTGAAGTTAAGGACAAGGGCGGTTTTGTTTCTTGGGATAAGAGACTGTGGACATCTCCAAAGCAAAAGAAAGACAAAGCTGTTGAAATCACCATAAAAGGGAAGGCTAAGTACACGGATGTGGATTATCCTGTAAGCAGGGTTTGTCAAGAAGCTTGGCAAGGTCAAAAAGACGGGCGAGTTCGCAAGCTGACAAAAGCTTGGCCAAAAGAGATTCTCGATCACACACCTACACCATGACAAAATAGTCGGCCGTATGGACCTGTCAATTACGTAACCGTTGTCTGTCGGTCCGAGATATTACAAGCGATGAATCATTGCCAAGTCAATCAAGCGGCGTCTCTTCAACACTTGCAACACTACCTAAGTTCATTTAGTTCAGTTTGGCAGTTCCGCTTTCTGAATGTGCTAAATGACCCCCTCTGACGTGAAGGGTGTAGTGATGTTACAAGGAAGGAAATATTTAATTAACGTCTCCTTGTTTTCCTTTGTCTAATTTTAACAACTCTTATATCCGACACTCTCAAGAAGACCACGAACAATCTATCATGATTAGGGAAAGCTTTGGGGGAGGGGAGAATAGAAGGGGAAAACGTGGAAATTCCCAGGGAATACTGTCAGTTGGTTGGGGCACGAAAGACGCAGAGAGATAACAGACTACTAAACGCACATATTTTAACGCAAAGAAATGTCGATCATGTAGCGACTTAACGGTCAATTCTTGAAGGAATGCATTATGAAAATTTTAGTAGTTGTTGAATTCTAGCTGTGTTCTACATATCTGGGGAGAAAATCACTATTATCGTCCAGTGTCTTAGAGCCAGTTAACATTTCAAAGCGGTATCTAAATCGCGACATATAAACAAGATTGTTTCCGCGGTACTCAGGCATAAAAAATACGTGAAAATCTGTGGGCACAAAAAAACGTGCCACGATGCCCCCGGCACATTCCAGTCAACACTTTGTATCGTTTCCTTTGCCTACTTCACAGTTTAAACATCGCTAGTGCAGTAACGATTAGGAAAGATTTCTTGAAAGTAAATAGAAAGTTATCTCGTTATCTTATTTACTGAATTATCTGTCTCTCTGCATTTGGAGATCTTCGTTTTATCGTCCGTGCTTTCGTGCCCGCAATGAAGTGAGGCTTAGGCAGATTTTCTATCGTAAGAGGATTTCACGGGATATTATCAGTCATAGACCAGGATCCATTTCCAACTGTCTGACTTATACGGATGTTTCTTGTTCCACGAAAAGACAAAAGTGTCGCCATTCTGGCTATGTAAACAAACCGGTAATTCCATTCTTGAGAGTGAGCAAGTTCAAAGACGATATATAGAAGAAAAAAAAGCAATTTAATTTGTGCAGAAAAGGATAAGAAACAGGAGTACAAAAAAGTAACGGAAAATAATGTCTAAATGAGTGGCCATTTAATAAGGTTTTACCCACAGTATTAACAGTACAACCACCTTGGAACAAGAAAGCAATCAGAAGCTCGTGGAAGCATACTGCTCTAAAGCTTTCATCTGAATGGACACATGCTAAGATTTCAGTATGCAGACGTAAAAATTAGAACCACATTCTACAGCATACGAACAGTACCACATGAAAGAACTGCTTAATAACTTTCATTTGAATGGTCACACACTAGGGTTTCACCCACAGACTTAAAAGTTAGAAACACCTTGCACAGCATAATAAACAGTACCACATAAAAGAACTGCTCAATAGCTTTCATTTGATTGGTTACACACTAGGGTTTCACCCACAGGCTTAAAAGTTAGAAACACTTTGTACAGTATGATAAACAGCACCAGATGATTAACCCTCGTTAGTTGAGACTTGGCAGGCGTTTTTGCCTTCATGGCACTTAAAGGCATCTCTTTCCTCTTCTGCGTGGCAAGGTTGGCAGAACTTTATAGTACGACCTACATTCAAGAGAACGTTTCTCCTCGGCATTTTATCAAACTGGAGATACGATATTAAATATAAAAACCAAACCTCAGATTGTCATTTTGTCACCTACTTTAATATGATTTGCCTTTTAACCCTTCTACATTACCGGAGACCTTTTCGTTTCGGACGGACACCGGAAAAAACTAATGTATTCCACGCTGGCGGACATAACCTACCCTTTCGATGTCCGATACCCGAGTTGCGACAGATCCTATTCCTAAAGACTGGAGAGAACGTTTTGGTGCCAAATGGACTACTAGTGTAGTATGGGAAACGCTCTTATGAAAAACAAATCAGGAAGACTAAATAACACAAGGGTGACTGTCCTCATATTTTGCAAAATTACTGATGATGATTTTCTTCCAGCAAAACTTTAATTAAACGAAACAGAAGATATTACATGGCCGCGCGGGAAAACGACATTTCTCTAAATGATCAAGTATTGAAAAATACTTTACGAGTGAAGGCAGCAAACTAGTGAAATATTTTTCAACAGGAGAAGAGAAGAGAATGAAATTTCCTATCTCCAAGCGACCATGCAATGTTGTATTTATTATATAAACAGCAATGAAATATCAAGCCGTTTCACTTTCGCTTGGAAAGTCGCGAGTTATTATTCAGCCATAGCAACAGTGATCTTTTTACTTGTGAAGATATCTTGTTTTTGCGCGAAAGTTCACCTGGTACCTCACTGGTGTTTATATATATAGTGACTAATTATACAGAGGCTAAGTATGTATTGGAAAACATACAGGAAAAAATATAATAATGAAAAAAAAAGAAGCGGTCATGGTGTTATCAGACTTTTAATTTTTGCTTCTATTATCTTATCAATACATCATGATATTGCTAAGCAGAAGATAGAGAGTATTGTCTTGATAGAACAACAAATTCTCTGAACTAACAAGAAGAGATATGTTTGGAATTTGTAAGGAGAGATAATATTTTAAACACGATTTAACGGGCAATATCTGAAGCGTTTTTCCGGCGTCTGCGGGTGTTCAGCGTCTTAGCTGGATGGTCTTTATCATCCAAATTTTTGAAGAGCGTTTAAATTTTTCAGCCATAAGTGTAGAAAAAACCCTCAGATAATAGAAAGAGTGAGATTTTAATCAGATTTTACGATCCGATTATACCAGAGTTAGTATGCACGGGTCACGTATACGAAACACAGATTTCTTGGGTGGATCTAGTAATATTATAGGTGTATCTATAGCTTAAGGGTTTAATAATAGTGACTTGTAGGGTAGTTCTTCGAGCAATGAATTTCGCAACTTTCGCGAAAATTACGTACACATGAAGTTAAATGACCCTACTCAGCCTCCACCGTTTTCGATGCCATCGAAATTATTGATATTGCATGGTGAAGCGAAATCTTATCGCTTTACTGTAAGTTATGTTCCTGAAAGTATGTTTAATTATATTTAGTAGTTTCACAGTGATTTCCTTCTTTTCGACATGCTCCGAATGAAATATAATACCCCAACTTTCGCATGTAAACAAAAACAAAGGTTGACTGGCTATGAAAGATTGACTGCTTAGTGAATAAACAAACCAGACAAATTAGATTGATAAACCTCTATGCAGCTTCTGATTTCTTGCCATATTGTATTTACAAAGCTTTTTTGCTATCATACAGTTTTCCTGTTAAACTCGTTCAAAAACTGGAAATGAAGTAAACTTTGCCGCGCAGTAAAAATATATGGCTTGGAAATTAAATTAAAATTAAATTGAAATAAAGTATAGCAGACAACTGTAAGAATTTACAACGCAATATAGATTATTAAAAAAAAATTGCCCAGCTATTAATATTTGATAAGTTCACAACAAGTAATCTCATGCGACGTCCTCACTGATTTGGCTCTCGCATGACAGATGTTAGAGACCAGGGCAAAAACGATTTAGTTCCCCGTTGGACCAAAATGACTGCATGCCAGTTTTTAAAAGGCTATTTCATTTGAAGTATCATTGACATATCACGAACTTGATATTGGAAAGCTGAATCAGTAACCAGCTCTGAACAGGTTCGGCCAGGGTTTTTGAGCATGCGGTATACAGGGGGATTTTAAATCGAGTATACAGTATTTTGACACCAAAGTATACCTTGTTTTTTTTTTTTTTTTTTTTTTTT